TTTTATAAAGCTTTTCTGATACCTTGTGCAAAGAATATAGATCTTTTGATATGCTCAAAGAAACGCACAGAGAGATACTGAAATAAGGTCAGATTAAGTCAGATCCTTTAAGGATACAACTGTCTGAGGAGATGTTGGTTCCTTTCTTAATGTTCTCTCTGGAGAAGGGTTCAGATGATGTGATCTTTTAAAGACACTAATGCTGTTTGTCTTGGAGACCAGGAACAGTCTTGGTGCTTGAGAACAGTCCAAAATGCTGATATTTCAGTTCTAAGAGCAGAGATGCTGAAATTCACTATTAAATTTTTGGCCTGGAAACCCTTTCCTGCTGTAGGAGGCTCTTCATTCCTGTCCAGATTTATGGGAAGACATCTTCACACATAGTCAGTGGCAGACTTTTTTTTCCCTGCTACCTATCTCCAGTCTTGGGGGAAGAAGGCTTTGAGGCTGGTTCATTCTGGACTCAGGCCAAGGTCTATCCAAGAGTCATATCCATTGCCTGGACAGAATGTGCAAAACGAGTTGGTGACAATTCTCCATGGCTTCAGCAACCACATCAGCAGGGGAGAGATAAATCCATCCTTGCTTATAATACAATAAAAACAATGCATGATGAAATGGCCACATCGCCAGGACTTGTTCTCGTGCTGTTGTTTTAACTTGAAAGAACATAATTGCTCAAACAGTTTGGCAGAGAGAGGGCTTCATGCTCTCTTTCTGCTACCCCTCCCTGTTATCTGAAGATAAATAGCAGGCATGTTTTAGCACTCAGTGTGCATCGGGTAGGATTTCCACCCACCCCTTTGGAGCTGGAGCACACCTGCAGAGATGCGCACATAGAACTATATGATTGTGAAAGCTCCCCTCTCATTCCAGGGAAGAGGGATGAAGAGGGGGAAGGGCTGTTGTTCAAGAACGGGGCATTCGTTTTTCATGCAGAAGGTCCAGAATTAATTCTCTAACATCTCTAGGTAGGGCTGAGAAAGAATTCCAGTGGAAATCCTGCCAGCTAATGAATGCATTATGGAGCTTAATAGCTCATCCCCAAGAGTTCATTCCGTTCAACTTCCACTTGGAGAAGTATGTCATCAATAAAGCCTTTCTTCAGTTAGAAATAAAGATCTATTCCATAGTAAGGCTCTTTAGCACTACTAAAACTTCCCCATCACCGTCTTCGTCATCATCATCATCATCATCATCATCATCATCATCATCATCATCATTTTTCATTTAATTCGATGAAAGAGAACTTGCATTTGCAATGCCTTACAAAAGAGAAAATCAATTTGGGAGAAGTGCTCATGGTGGAGTCTGGGGTTCTTACACTGATTGTTGTTTCCTATTGGAGTCATTTTTTAATTGTAGCAATCCATACGCCTTGGTAACCATTTTTTTAAAAGTATGTTGTGAGGAAGTGGTCAATATATATGTGTAAATGACCCATCTTTTGGCATATGCAGTCCTTTCTCCAGAAGTCTAATGTCCCCCTGGCTTCCCATGCTTTATTTATTATTTACTTACTTACTTATTTATTATTTATTTAAAACTCAGGGAAGTGTTACTGATAAGGATTCCAGAGACAGTTCTGTAAACAGCAACTCCTTGGTTATCAGTGAAGGGATCCACCAGTTCACCACTTAACAGAAAGGCAAGGAAAAAGAAAATGAGAAAGATTCCACTATAATATATGGGGGGGATTTATCAATCATAGAAAGGAAATTGGTTAATTGCCAGATGCTTGTGACCCTACCCCTTTCTTCTTAAACATCTTGCTAAAGCGACTCTGGGAATCATGTCTGGAAAAGGAATTACCTTCAGCTTTAGGCAGAGGCACCCAGAAGGAACCCTCTGGATGTCTTCCAGAGTGAAGTCCTCCTGTGGCCCTTTTTTCTGCGAAGTGATGGCAGCCGAGGAGGCTTCAGAGGGATGAGAAAAGAGGTCACAGTAGCAATAAGAATACTTTCTACCATGGCCGGTCATATGGAGAATCTCTCTCTGGTGGTCTGTAGCCTCAAGGCTTCCCTGTTCATGCTTCTTTTCAATCCCAAAGGGAGACCTCAAGAAGGAACTCCTCTTGTTGAGCTTGTTCAGTAACTGCCACTGCATTGCTAAAGGGAAGCCCAGCCCTTGGAAAATCACAGGCAATTGCCCTTCTCTTAGAAAATGTTGAAAGGTCTTTTATGTCCAGCTTGGGTAGATGAATCCTTCAGAGGTATATCTCAGTGGTTTCGCTTTGGTGGAGCAGAAACCAAAACCCTTCCTTCCTGAAGGTTATGAAAAACTGTTGCCCAAACAGATGTAGACAAGCAATGAACAATCTTTAAACTTTCTTTTGTAGCTAGAATCCTGAAACCTACCTACCACAGCCAATTGCAAAAGAGATCCTCAGGGTAGAGGGAATGAGTATACCCTAAGAATAAAATAACAAGGGAGATCTGAGTAGATGCTCAAGATGGATATCTGCAAGCATTAGAATCACACTCATGAGTCCTTCTGCACAAAAGTTCCATTCTGGTTTTCCTTTCAAATACTGTTTTTCAGAAATCTGATTTAAGGGGAGAAAGTTTTATTTATTGCTGCTGTTGGGGGTTCAAAATTCAAAATGCTTTCTGCAAATCACTCCAGGATTTAGAGTATATCCCCTCCCAAAGAATATTGTATATCCCAGTATAAATCGCCTTCTTAAATCTTCTATATGATTGGGGTGGCTGTTCCAGGAGCTTAAGCCCAAATAGTCATTTGGGCATCTGCAAATATAAATTTGCTTTTGGGACAGCCTAGTTTCTCCTAGGATCCAACGGTGTTTTCTGTATCACTTGGAGCAGACATGTGTGAACACCTGTCAGATCTATGATGTTCAAATCCCAGTGAAGAAAAATCTCTTGAAACCCGAGCCAAGT